AATTCTACAGTACAAACGATATGGAGAATCCATATTAATTCCACGTTAATGTTACGTTAGTCTGTACTTAACTACGTATTTCACTAAAAAATGCAACATTTTAACTCGGTTTTTGGTAGATTTTTACGTGACTAACATAAGGCTACTGTGGAAGTGCCCATTTCGGTTACAACGACATTCGTTTATAACGACACTATTTTTAGGTCCCTTTGATGACGTTATAACCAAGTTCTACTGTATATCTCAATTTTAGAAAATTTGAACGACTAAGGATCCATCTGACTAAGACTTCCAACCACCTCACTCTTCTCATGAAATGCAAGACTTATGATGTTCCCGAAGGCCTCATATTGAACGCTATTCCAAGATAAATTTATGAGCCAGCATGGCTCTGCTAAGAGAGAGGATCCAATTCTACCATTTTAAAAAAGCTGCACTTAAACAAATCAAGGATCTGGAATCCTATTTTCCGGAGATCAACTCTGCATCATGGCTGCAGTGGAAAGCTCTTTCAAACATCATTTTCTTAAGCAGGAGATTCAGATTCGAAAATTCTCAGCTCTGGAAGATTACCATCAGACCACCAAGACCCCGAAAGCCATTCAGCCATCAATTTATATGAGCATGTCCTCACAGAACCAGGAGAATCCATGCTTAAGAAAGGGCATAATTTTGCAATAACAAACAGAGTGTTTAATGTGGACATGGCATGTTTGGCAGAATCTGCAAGGTTCAAACTTCACCCTGCCTTGGGTATGGAGCTCTGTTGGGAGATCCCATGCGTTAGAGAAATCAAAACCTTTCACATCTAACATGATGAGGAGGGAATCCATGGCACTAAAATCCCTAAAAAAACAACAAGCAAATACAAATTCTACAAACTGACAAGGGAAACTGCATGGTGATGCTGAACAAGTCCACTTACAAAAAGATATCCAGTCTGCTAGAATCAGGGGTGTGTGAAATTCTACATAAGGATTCTATGTCTCAAATTGAGAGAAAGATATGGAAACCTCTTACCAAAGACAACACTGTCTTTCCTGCTGCCTTGAAACATAAACTGGCTCTCTGCCACAGCAAACCACCTCACATCTATGGATGTCCCAAGATACACAAGCCTGGCATCCCACTCAGACCAACAGTTACCTCTACTGACTCTCCCTGTTATGCACTAGCAGAATTCCTCCATACAATCCTGGGCCCTCTGACTGGCAATACATGCTCTTTCGTGAAGGGCTCAGAACACTTTATAAACTCAATACAGGATATCAACCTTCAAAATGGAGATTACCTTGTAAGTTCTGATGTCAGTCTATTCACCAATGTACCAGTGGAAGAGGTCTTACAAGTCATAAGAACAGACTCAGTATGGATCTTTCTTTCCCAAAACACTCACCTTTGCAAATTGAAGAAATGATGGAACTACTGGATATCTGTTTAACAACCATGTACTTCCAGTCTGAGGATAAATTCTACAAGCAAAAAGAGGGTATGGGAATGGGAAACTCCTATCTCTGGTGGTCAGTAACATATTCATGGAGCATTGTGAGGAAACAGCACTGGACACAGCAGACTACAAAACCACTAAATGACTCACATATATCGACAACACACCCATGGTATGGCTACATGGACCAGCAAAGTTACAGCAATTTTTTCACCATTTTAACGGGGTTAGTCCTACCATGAAATTCACTATGGAAGTTGAGGCTAATGATACCCTTCCTTTCTTGGACATCTTGATCATGAAGAGGGGTCCTAAACTGACCATGAAAGAGTACTGGTAACCTACTCATAATGGTCGTTATCTGCACTTCATGTCCAACCACCCACATTACGTAAAAGGGGGAGTTGTTCATAGTTTGGTTAACCAAGGGAGGGTCATATGTCAAAATCTGAAGGATTTTAACAAGGAAATTAAAAACATAAGACATGATCTGATGTTCACTGAATATCCAAATGAATCTGTTGACTGTGTAATGAAGCCATCAGCAAGAAATCGCCCTTCTTCAGATACAGTTCACCAGGGCACAGTCATCATCCCATATATTAATGGTACTTCCAAGAAATTCAGACACATTAGGAACAACTTCACTCTCAGAACCATTTTGAAGACTAAACATACAATGTGGGACATTGATGAAAACTGGACTGGTTAGAGATGCCCAGCAGATGAAAGAGCATGTTTACAGCATCTTATGTGATTGGCAGATGTTACACTGGTGAAACAAGCAGACATTTATAAGTGTGCATCAAGGAGCACAAATATAACCTAACATAGGGTTTGCTTGAAAAATCAAAATTAGCCCAACAAGCATATGAGGAAGGCTACAAAATATGTTGGAATGAAGTGAAGGTCTTGCAGATTGAGCCCAATACCACATACAGGAAATGCAAGGAATCCGCCCACTTGTCTCTGCTGGACCATCCAATTACTCAACCCAACTTGGACATCTCTCCAATCTGGACACCCGTTATCAGAGCAGAAGTCAAGAAACAACTCTGTCAAGTGTTGAGTGGGAAAATTTGTTTCTCTTGTGTTGGTACTGCAAGGAGTATTGCTTCTCTCCAGTGACGATTTCAGTCGAGATACTTCTCTGGTGCAAGGCCTCATACGTGTGGAGTTTTAATAATTTAATGTGTTCTTAGCTCTTGCAGATGGTTTGTGTTGTACTTGGCTTGTATACCCCATCTTGGGGCTGGCACAGGTGTCCAGAGATAGGGACTAGCTCCATCTCTTGGGCCAAACTGAGTAGGTTTTACCTGAAGATGGAGACAGAATTCAGTCTCCAAAACGTTGCGTTTTGATAAATAAACAGGACGGTGTTTTTAGATAAAGACAGGATGATGGATATTGTCCAAAAACGTAATATTTGTTCCTTGATTTTATCATTCAAGAACAGTACAAATTATTATGGTGCCCATTATGCAGTTTTCTCAAGCCTCTTGCAACTTCCATCTCTTTTGTCTGAATATTCTCCTCATAACCCTCCTCTCACATATGCTTCCCTTAGTATGAGAGACATTACTTTAAGATACTGAATACATATATACTATTCAATTTAAACAATTAGATCCTGCCCTAATGGAACTGGAGCAGAACACAGCTCAATTATGGAGCTGCAGATATTTACGTAGCTTCCGTATCACTGTTTCCCAGATAAAAATATTCTGTTCATGTAAATGAATCAATTGTTAGCATTCTCTGAAACGAAT